CTTACACCCTCAACATGAACAGTTTTTATGTTATGAACAATTAAAACCTTTAGCTGCTCACTATAATCTTGATCTGGATAATTTAAGAGCAGAACTAAAAATCTTACCAGCAACTATAATCAAATATCAAATTCATTTTAATGTTAAGGTAATATTATCTCCTATTTTTGTTATACCGACTGCCATTTGCACATAGAAATTAGGTCGTCGGTACAAATTCTTTTTTTTTGAACTTCTAGTACATGAAATAAGCTTTATTTTCACATATATTTAAAAGACATAGATTTTCAAAAGTTAAGTTGAAAAAGTTCTACTATTTATACAAATTTTCAAGTTTTCAAAAACACAAAAAAATTTTCTTAACTTTGAAGAGGCAAAATAATCTAAATAAGTATAAATTTATATTTAATGTAAGGTAGATTCATGTAAATTTTATATTTATTAGTGGAATCATTACTATGGCAAACCCTTGAATGGTATTTAAAAATAAACAAAAAAAAAAATAAAATTTGAACACAACATTTTTCAAAACGTTATGGCAATTTTTAGAAAAAAATGTAGAAATTTACGGATTTAAAAAATCGTAAGTTTGACGGTTATTTCTTCAACTAGATACGATTTGTGATTTTTTGACGTATCGTTGAGATAAATCAGTCCAGTGAGAGCTAAGAAAAAGTAGTGACCAACATAAAAAAAATAAATAAATAAACACATCATAGTAAAATTAATACTTTCCGTGGAAGCTAGCAATATGTATTATTAAGAGTAAAATTTATAAATTACCGGATTTTTTTTATATGATCACGAAAATCCACTAAAAAATAACTTAAACCGCTTTTTAGCTTAGAAAATTTTATTTATATATGTGTGCATAGATGAATACAATATAAATATATACAAGTAGGGTAATTTAGAGAGAGCTGGAACCCCCCCCCCGCCACACCCACTCACCTTCCTTGCGGTGGAGGAAGTGTACGGGGGGATTAAATCCAACGTAAACTAACCTAATGGAATGGTGGGGGAGAACGATGAAACCCAACGTAAACTAACATAATGCAATAGGAGGACGAAACCTTATGTAAACAAACCTAATGCGGAGGGAGGGAGAGGATGAAACCCAACGTTTTCTAAGAATTTTATCATCGGCTACCAGACGCTTAGGTAAGCATATTTCCAACATCAAATGTACAAATAATTTCTAAGAATTTTGCCATCGACTACCCGACGCTTAGGTAAGCATATTCTGACAGCAAAGGTATATTTATAGTATAACGCTCATAAGCGTATGTAATTTTATGGAAAAAATTTCGATGCTGGCTTTGTATTATTAAATGTAGAGCTATAATTTCTCAGAATTTTACCATCGACTACCAGACGCTTAGGTAAGCATATTTTTTAATATTGAAGATGTCGTCATATAGTAATGATCATTATCGTATGAATTTTATGAGAACAATGGTAGCGTTTGTCGTTATGGCATTATAATTCCTAAGAATTTTACCATCGACTATCAGACGCTTAGGTAAGCATATTTCCGACATCAAAGGTATCATAATATTATATCGCTCATAAGCGTCTGTAATTTTATGGGAAATAATTGTGGCGCTGTCTGTGTATTATTAAATGTATAGCTATAATTTCTCAGAATTTTATCATCAGCTACCAGACGCTTAGGTAAGCATATTTCCAACATCAAAGGTATCATTATATTATATGGCTCATAATCGTCTGTAATTTGATATGAGAACAATTGCGGCGCTGTCTGTGTATTATTAAATGTATAGCTATAATTTTCTTAGAATTTTAGTATCGGCTACCAGACAGTAACGATGACTTTCGTATGCATTTTATGATAAAAATGACACCACTGGATGTGTTTCACGCCTACGTAGTATTTTATTCTTTACTATATAACCGGTGAAACACTTCTTGTCCTGTCACATTTGTTTTTAATTAACATTGACGTGCAGTTGTCATTTTGAAAACCAGAAATTTATTATTTAATAATTTACACGTATTAATAAAACTATGAACCAGCAAGATCAATCGTCTTCTACACAAGGTATGTAAAATTTTCCAATTATAAACTTATTTTATTTTAATAAATTTATTTTTAAAATATTTTTAATTTTTAAATTCATAAATTTATTAAAAATAATAAAATAAATCCAATACCTAATTTTATTATCAACTTTATTCTAATTTTCAATTTTATTTTATTATATATAAAAAAAAAAAAAAATTTCTTTACTATACTTTAATGTATAAAAAAAAATACTTTATTTCATTTTTGATTAAAGCTACTTCTGCGACATCTGTTTCATCACGTCAGGCGGCTAAGCGTAGTAGGGCCAACAACAGCGCGGTTAGGTCGAAAAGGTTACGTATGCAATTGACGGATACCCATGATTTCACCGAGATCGATTCCGCATTGGAGCGGGGGGCCGTTTGGTTTTATCGGAAGAACGTGGAGAATTTCGCGAGCTATCGAGATTTTCTGCGCGCCGTTAAACCCGAGCTGGTGGTCAGACTCGCTGAAATTGTAGGTAACCGACCGATCAAGTATAATCTCAAATTGGAGACCTCATACCATATACCATGATCGGAAGCACCGCCCGAGGACCGTGCCTTTAAAACACGGGCTAGGGCATTGCTATCCGATACAGATATCGGGTGTGCGGTCGATGAAGATTTTGAGGTTATGCTCGCCGAGGAAGACGTGTACTCTGGGAGGGGTAGCGGCTTTACTTTATCGCATATCGACGGCATTATGCTCAGCGTATACAAGTATACGCCCCTCGCCGGCTCATCATATTTTCTGATTCCGTCCGAAATTAATAATAGAAAAGCAATCATCAATCCACAGAATATCGATCAGTCTTGTTTCAAGTGGTCCATTTTGGCGAGACATGTTAGCGGGAGTAATAAATATCGCGTTAATGAAAAATATTTTAACGAGGAACACAGGTATGATTTCACGGGGTTGACGTTCCCCACACCTGTGTCCCAAATTAAAATATTTGAGCAACGAAACCCTATCGTGTCTGTCAACGTGTACGGCTTGGAACGAGACGACGTTAAGATGAAGTGGTTGGTTTATCCGCTAAGAGTCACTGACCAAGAACAACAGAATCATTTTGACCTGTTGTATATTGGCGACTCTGAAAAATCACATTACGCATACATTTCAGATTNAATCACATTACGCGTACATTTCAGATTTTTCTAAGCTTGTTCGTAAACAAAAAACCAGACACCAAGGCCGCATATACACTTGCAAACGTTGCTTCACCTGCTTTGATGATCAGCCTAAAAAGCATATTCTTCGGGGTAATCAAGCGTTGGAGCAACACAAGTTGATATGCGGCAAAAATAAACCTATTTTACCTGTTATGCCGGCAGAGGGCAGTAAGGTTGAATTTGACGCGTGGGTAAAGACGCAACGGTTACCGTTCGTCATCTACGCCGATTTTGAGGCCTTACTGGAGAAAACAGACGAACATATGGGTGCATACACCAGGACTGTGCACACCCACCATCCTATGAGCTACGGATTCATGGTGAAAACATCGGACGATGTGCCCTCCGAGCTCCTTGAACGCTATGGTATACCACAATTACCGGTGATATACCGTGGCTCCGAGGATCGCGAAGAGGTCGCTAAGGCATTCGTGATGGCTGTAACTGAGGTGATGCGCAACATTTCTAAATTGTTGCGCAAAACCAACGTTCCTATCCGAATGTCTGTCGATGATGTGCGCAGGCACGGGGAGAAAGTGGTATGCGATTTGTGCCGTACAGCATTCAAGGATTCCAACCCTAAAGTCGCAGATCACTGTCATTTATCGGGCCGATTCAGACAGACGTTGTGCAATGCATGTAACCTGAAAGTAAAGACGGTCAACTTTGTGCCATGCTTCTTGCACAATCTAATAGNTTTGTGCCGTGCTTCTTGCACAATCTTTCAGGTTACGACGCGCATTTCATCGTCACTGAATTGGGGTACGACGACCAAAGGATTTCGGTCATACCGAATTCCGAGGAGAAGTATATTTCAGTCACGAAATACGTGACCAATTACTTTNCGGTCACAAAACATGTAACCAATAACTTCTCCATACGGTTTGTCGACACCTTCCGGTTCATGGCCTCCTCCCTGTCCACTTTGGCCGGTAACCTAATGACGCCCGACTTCGTTAAATTTNCTAATGACGCCCGACTTTGTTAAATTCCGGGAGACGGCCAAGGTGTTCCGCCCGGAAGACATGCCGTTGGTGACGCGTAAGGGCGTATACCCCTACGAGTACACTGATAGTTGGATTAAATTGGACGAAACGGAACTACCGCCACAAAACGCTTTCTATAGTCAGTTGAGTGAGTCTANACGCTTTCTATAGTCAGTTAAGTGAGTCGAATATCGATGATGATGACTATAGACATGCCACGGAGGTGTGGAACCGTTTCGGCTGCTCAACCCTCGGTGAGTACAGCGACCTATACCTTAAGATCGACGTGTTGTTGTTAGCTGATGTGTTTGAGAACTTCCGCGACATCTGTATTTCAACATACAATTTGGACCCGGCGCACTACTACACCGCGCCTGGTTTTAGCTTCGATTGTATGTTGAAGTACACCGGAGTGAAGCTGGAGCTCTTGAACGACTACGACATGCTACTGATGGTGGAACAGGGCATTCGTGGTGGGTTAGTGCAGGCTGTCAAGCACTATGCAAAGGCCAACAATCCTAAGACACCAGATTACGATCCGTCAAAACCAGACTCATGGATCGTGTATCAAGACTGTAAGTAGTCTATACGTATATATATAAACGTGCAATAATTGAGCGGTGGTTTAAAAACGTTTAATGTATACAGGCAATAACCTTTACGGGTGGGCTATGAGTCAGCCCATGCCGTACGGTGGCTTCCGGTGGTATAAAGAAGCAGACCCTCTGGCTGACCTCCAATCGTATTACGATCGTAATACGATTGTACCACCGGGTTCCAAAGAGACCAAACTCATGGCCACTTTGAAACCCAAACAACGGTACGTCGTACACTATGTCAACTTAAAACAGGCAATCGCACACGGACTGCAAGTCGATAAAGTATGTATAATTAACCTATAAACTATAAGCGATGATACTAATATAAATATTTGTACTGCAGGTGCACCGCGTTTTAGAGTTTCAACAAAGTGCTTGGTTGAAACCATACATTGAGTTGAACACTGAAATGCGGAAACAGGCGGCAAATGCTTTTGAAATAGCATTTTTCAAACTAATGAATAATGCCGTCTTTGGTAAGTGCATGCTCAATGCTAAAGCAGTTGTGAGANTTGGTAAGTGCATGCTCAATGCTAAAGTGGGTTATTCGATAATTTTTTACATTTTATAGGGAAAACCATGGAGAACATGCGGAAGCGTACCCGCATTGAGCTAATCTCCAGTTCCAAACGTCTAAGCAAGCTCGTAAATCAACCAACCTTCAACGACTGTATCAAATACGGTGAAAGGTTGTGCGCTGTCATAATGGACACAAAGATTGTCAAGTTTATCAAACCAATATACGTCGGTTTAGCAGTGCTTGACATTAGCAAGACGCTAATGTACAAGTACTTCTACGACGTATTGAAACCACATTATGGCAACGCAATCGAATTGGTTTACATGGATACTGGTGAGTACAACCGTACAAAATAGAAATATTTTAGAATTTAGAAATTATTTAGTAGAAATGTTTTTTATAATATTTATATATTTTTCATTTTTCTCAGACTCCTTCATATACCTGCTCAGAGTCGGCGACTTCTACCAGGATTTAGCTGATAGCTCCGATTTACTGGTGCACGTGGACGCATCTAGCCTGCCCAAGGATCACCCTTGCTACTCGACCGATAGAAAGAAGATGCCCGGCCTGTTTTCAGACGAAACCGGTGGCCTTACCCTCTTTGAGATCGCTGCACTTCGATCAAAGTGCTACGCATATGACATGGAAGGCAGCGAACTAATCAAGTCTAAGGGGATCCGCGGGCACGTCGTCCGGAACCATCTGTCTTTGGACGATTACAAACGATGTTTGTTCGAAGACGATGGCGATGGCGACGATGTGTCAAAACGAGCATTGGCTGGAGAGAATGCCCGTGTGGTCATCGGAGCTGTACGCGATGGTGAGACTCCACCGACATTATCGCTGCCATACACTCCGTACTGACAGAACGTGTCAATCCGTTCGTTCGAGCACGAAGTACGCACTTTACGTACAACCAAGTTGGCGCTTAACCGTTTCGATGATAAGCGCTATACGCTCGAAAACAGAATCGACACGTTGGCTCACGGGCATTATGCTATACCACCACCACCACAAGAAGGTTAATACAAATATAGTAGTATTTAAGTGATTCTTGTTGAGAAAAAAAAAATATTGTTAAAATTAAATATTGAAAACATAATTTGTAAAAAATATGANGGAGGTTAATACAAATATAGTAGTATTTAAGTGATTCTCGTTGGAAAAAAATATTGTTAAATAATTTGTAAAAATATGTGTACTAGTATAAATAGTTTTAAGATTTTTTTTGTTAAATAATTGTAAATAAATGTTAGTAATACACATGTAATCGTATATAGTTTTAAAATGTAAAATGTAAATAATATAAAAAAAAAAAAAATTGTAAATATTCTTACATTTTTAATTATTAAATAAAAAAAACCTAGTGTTGTATTTGTAATTGTCTATTTATTTAACTAATTGTTTTATTACAATAATGAAAAAATATTTTATTATAGTAAATATCAAAAAAAAAAAAAAATTATAGGCATTTTATATAATATCGATTGAATCTATCCATTTATTATGTGAATTATCCAAACCAACAAATTTGACAAAACATTTGTCTTTATTCTTCTTAATGATCTTTTCCACTAAATAAACTTCTGGAAACTGCTAAATGANGATCTTTTCCACTAAATAAACTTCTGGAAACTGAGTCTTGCTAAATTCGTGCTCATAGAAACAACCATTTATAGGTCTGTTGTTTTCATCTGTCAGTTCGTACACGACAGGTTTTGTATAACGAATTTTTGCGATTGTAAAGACTTCCGATGTCCAATTTTGTGTATATCCTTTTGAAAATACTGCTTTATGTTTACTCAGACGAACTTTATCTCCAATATTAAACGTTTTATTATATTTTAAAATAGGTAGCCGTTTAAAACTGACATTTCCAGGATTACGTGATGCTATACTAGGAGTTGTTCCTATGGCGCTATGTTTTGTATTATTGTAATTTGTTATTAAATCTGCTATAATGTTTATCCAACTATACGATCTATTGGTAGTAAATTTTTTCCACATTTTTTCTTTAAGTGTTCTATTAAATCGTTCCACAACAGCCGCTTTCATTGTAGAGTAGGTTGAATAATGATTTATATTTTTGTTCTTCATGAGCATCCGAAAATGTTTGTTGAAAAATTCTAAACCTCGGTCTGTTTGCAAGTTTTTTGGAGATCTATTGAACAAGACTTTTTCAAAAGCCGACTTGACTTCTGTACTAGATTTATTTTTTAAAGGCACAGCCCACGCATATTTTGTATAAACATCGATTATCGTTAAAATAAAGGTAAAATTTTTATTTTTTGTAGAGTATTTTTTCATATCTACTAAATCTGCTTGCCACAAGTCATCTTTGCCATACGATACAACTCTTCTTCTAGGAAATATTTTTCTAGCCGGTCTATGTAATTCATTTGCTACTTTCTCTGCTACTTTACTCATGATATTACACCTAGTTCTCGTAACTCTTCTTCTATTGACAGTATTTCGTTTCCCACACCTGTATTTCCAGCACTTCTTGCAGCGTGTAAAAGTTCTAATCGAACTATGAGTTCATTAGGATCGTTCCAATATACGTATTCTTTAGGTCATTTGTTTAAAATTTTGTAGGTTAACACACCACTACCTGTTTTCGGAGGAAACAAGTTACTAATGATGAATTTATAATTATAACCTACATTACATTTCAATTTTCCATCTCGACCTAAATGGGCATTAGTGTAAAGTAGTAAAATTTTATAATCCGATAAATCCATTTTATTGAATGAACCAACTGCAGGTTTACTTTTAAATAATAATTGATAAAGCCCATAACTTAGTGGTCGTGGTGCTAATGTCCCAACTTTAATAGTTGAAAAATCATCGGTTATTTTAACCGTAGTATTACCCATGATAAAATCAATTTCTTTCACATATTTTAATCCGTAAANTCTTTCACATATTTTAAACCGTAAACCGGGTCCATTTCTAACAACCACTTTGAAAAATCTTCTCGCTGCATTTCACTAGAAAACGAGCGTTTAGGCTTATCGATATTTGCCGTCTTTATTTCTTCCTGAGATATAGAAGGTTCATTTTTTATTGAACTTTCCATCTTTATTTCCTCTTCTTGATATGTAGAGGGTTCACTAGAGCTCTGTATCATATCATTTTCTTCTGATGTAATTGGATCAGTTTTTACTATAGGACGGGCTTTTCCTAAATGACGAAACATAGACTTTCTATGCTTTTGCTTTTCTTCCATTTCAACACGATTTTGATTAGCTATTTCTTGAAGAGGTGTCACCAGCGGTGACATATGTGTACGTACAAAATTTTCCGATTTCTCAACATTTCTATGAATTAACTGTATTTTATTTTTTATGTTTTGTTTAGAGCGTATGATTTCTTTCAACACTTTATCCGACATCTTGATATAAACTAAACATATAGCAGTATGAGTCGTCTTTTTATACTCGCGTCATTTTTATGAATATATCAAGCCCACATCGATATCGGCCATTGTTGAGGTCATCATCTTTCACTATAGTAATGAAACTATATCGTCCTTTATTCCAACATTGTGAACACATTGCTTTGAATTCATTAAAACTCATATCACTGGAACAATGATCTTCATAAACTTGTTTGAGATTTGTTTCATTTTGTTTGTACAGTATAATCATATTAGTGTTATCTCTTATCAGTTGTTTTGGAATTTTAGAATACGTCTGTGTTAGGTAAAAACTATCAACACCATTGTGTCGCCCTCGGCAAAAATAAGATGTCATATGAATTTGTTTTTCACAAATCATATCATCGAATACAAATACAGAGTTTGCTTCTAATTTTTCGGGTGGAGGCACGTCTTCACGGCTGGTGAACATGGATAATTTTACCACATTATCCATAATCTCACCTAATAATTTATATTTATGCTGATCCGGGGTTTTCGTGTAAACGTATAGGTGCTCGAATCGCAAACCATTTTCCTCAGTTAATAATTTAAACATAACATTTGTTTTACCACAATTTGATGGTCCACATATTATGCATCTTATTGTGTTGGGTAACAGTGGTCCATGTTTAGACTCGATGGGGTCTGTAAGATCCACGACATTATCGACTGATAGAGTATGTTTCTGTTTCTCAAAAAACATTATTAGCGCACGTTATTACTCGTCAAACGAATGAGTATAAATGATGACAAATTCAAAAAACCTTTACAGTTATAAATTGAAAATGGTGCGAACAAGACGTGCGACGAAGCGAAGTGTAGGACGCGGTATTGTTAATTCAATAATTAATCGATTGCCCATTGAAATGCATGTTCCAGGGTATCGGTATTGCGGACCAGTCACAAAACTTAATAAAAGANGTATTGCGGACCAGGCACAAAACTTAATAAAAGACTAGCACGTGGTGATCCTGGAATAAATAAACTCGATGCAGCGTGTCGTGAACATGATATTGCGTACGCAAGATCAAATGATTTATCAGANGCGTACGCAAGAACAAATGATTTATCAGAACGGCATTTGGCTGATTACGAGTTGGAAAAACGTGCTTGGGACCGCGTAAAAGCGAACGATAGTTCATTTGGAGAAAAGGCTGTTGCGTATGCTGTTACAAATACCATGAAAGCTAAAAGAAAGATTGGAATGGGCTTTGGTGGTGTACTACGAGTTGGACGTAAAGCTATGCGTAATTCAAAAGATATTAACAGTGCGGTAAACTTAGCATTAGCAGCAGCTCGTGTTGCTCTAAAGCAGAAACAAAAATTTAAAATACCTCGCACTATCAAAGTACCTAAATTTGGTGGTGTGCTGCCACTCATTCCTATTTTTGCTGGACTTTCAGCTTTAGGGTCGTTGGCTGGTGGAGTATCGAGTATTGTAAGAGCTGCACACGAAGTTAGAAAAAACGTAAATTCGAATAAACCAGTGAAAATCGGTAATGCATTATACTTGCATCCATATACTGGGAAAAAGAAGGGTGGTGGATTCTATTTGAAACATCAAAAAAACTAGCATTGACACTACCCAAGCGACGTGCACTCAGCGATTTAGATATTATAAAATATGCTGAGTCATTCGGAATCAGTCATTTCCGCGGTGTCTTTTCGAGAGATAAGTTGCCTGTCAAGCCCAAAATATACGAGAGTGCAGTTGTTAATTTGGACATTGACCGTGGGAAAGGAACGCATTGGGTAGCGTATTTTAAGAAAAGCAAGGACGTGGTGTATTTCGACTCTTTTGGAAATTTAACTCCTCCGCTGGAACTTGAAAAATATTTCACCGGATTGCGCGTGAAATACAATTATAATCAGAAACAAAAATATAACACAAACGTTTGTGGTCAGCTGTGTTTAAAATTTTTAAAATCACAATGCTCAAATCGCTGACCCTTACGCTGCATGACACAACGTCGGAAGTCACATCAAGTTTTTTTCCACCGATAGAATTCACTGGAGCACCAGAGGTTGCGTTGTTGGGATTTTACGGATGTAATTCAATACCTAATATTGACAAGTCAAACAATACATTCACTTTGATAAATACAAATAACGAGCTTCTTGAAAATAACATAGAAATTAAAGTGCCTGAAGGCACTTATGAACTTGAAGACATTAGTAAATATCTAGAAGAACGTCTTCAGTCGTATAAAATCTCATTCATGTTGAAGGCTAATAAAAACAGTTTAAAATCAGAATTAAAGTGTAGCCGACAGATAGATTTTAGCGTTGAAAATAGTATAGGTGGTATTTTAGGCTTTCATCGAAAAATACTCGACGCAAATAAAATACATATATCGGATCAAGTTGCTAACATAAATAATTTAATAAGTATAAAAATTAATTGTAACGCTGCTTATGGTGCATTTGACAACGGAATTCCTAGTCATACGGTTCACGAGTTTAATCCAGGAGTGTCAGCTGGTTACCGTATTGTTGAAAATCCTAAAAATCCTAAAAATACTATCCATTAATATCCAATCAACTATACTCTATAACAGTGAAAATAACAAATCACNATACTATCCATTAATATCCAATCAATTATACTCTATTACTGTGAAAATAACAGATCAAGACGATAAAGCGATTAACTTTAGAGGTGAGCCTGTTACCATACGTTTACATATACGCGATGGCTCTTCGATTCAATAAAACCAAGAGTAATATTAAAAAACCAATCATTAAACAACGATTATTTGAAGAGATACGACGTGAAAACCTTGACATTCTTTCTGCTTTGGGATATACAATTAACAATGGACGATATTTTAGAAATAATGGAAACACCGTACAATGAAGACCGCATAGTGAAATTGGATTATTTTTCCTATCAACCGTTTTCGGTTAGCGCACTATCAAATAATGATGAGATACGAATATGTATTCAACAGCAAGATGTTTACACTCTTTCATGTGATTCCTATCTCTTGATAGATGGAGAACTCTCGGGAGTTCCTGCCGGCTCAGATGTACAATTGGTTAACAATTGGCTAGCTCACTGCTTCACTGAAATAAGATATTTATTGAACTCAATAGAAATAGATAGATCGCGTATGCCTGGGATAATGTCTACAATAAAAGGATACGTCACTTTTTCACCGAATGATCATACACGGTTTGAAAATGCTGGCTGGAGTGTTGTAACTGCAAATACGAGTATGAAAATCGAAGTATACATACCTCTAAGGTTATTATTAGGATTTGCCGAGGATCATAAAAAAGTCATCGTTAATTGTCGTCAAGACTTAATATTGCAACGGAGTGGTACAGATTTAAACTGTATTTACTCGACAAATGAAAATTTATCAAGTTGTAAAATTATTTTGANTAATAACCAAAAGAAGTGCTATAAAGATATATATATTTATATTGGGAAACTGTTGCATGTGTATGAAGAGAGTGCAATGAAGAGAAGTGTAGAGTGTATACTATGTGTTGAGGGGAATACTAAATTCTAATAGTTATTACTTAATAAATGTAGTTAGTGTATTAAAACTACTCTTACCTGATATTCTCTGATGATGAATGAATCTTGAGTGTAGATTTATGGTTGTTAAAAGGTATATTTAAAACTATAGTAAGTGTGTCAATAAATGAAAATTGAACTTGGTTAGCAGAAGCGTATTTATTATTATGAAAATTGTTAATTATTTTCACAAATGTATATTTTAAGCTTAGTGTTAAAAGGTTAAATTTAAAAAGAAACAACAGAAAAGAATACACACAAGTATGTTTAGAATTATATTTTGAATTGATTAATTTTACATTGTAATGAGAGAAGTGAACTAGAAAAATGAAAGATTGACTGACTGCCTAAAGCAGTCTCCAGCCCTTATATAACATACCACGAAAAACATAAATAGGGATGAAACGTCTGATTGAGTCATGCTTTACAATCAAAACAAGACAGTTACTTTTTATCACCTTCCTTTATTTTATGCTTTTTGTGGTGCCTAGAAGACGCTGAGACAGACAATGACTCATGGCTACTTCGTAGTTGCCAAAAGTCAATACTATAAGTTTAATCGTGTTAGCATATTCTTTTCTGAGGTCTTAGAAATACAAGAGGTATTGATTTTATCAATATTCCAAAGGAGAATATTACAGTATGCTGTACCATATCACATGTACACTCAATTCCAAGAGGCGTTCTATGAAAAGGAGATGGCGTGTCCTATGCTCACAAAAACAGAATTCAAGACAACTGCACCACTCATTGTCATTGACTGTTCGAGGCAAAAGGAAAAATTAAAAAATGCGCCAGTAGATATTAGATTAGAATTTGAATCTCATGAAAATTTTCCGACCAACACTACAGTATATTGCTTAATTGTACACGACAAAATGTTTGAATATAATCCTATGACTAATGAAGTTCATAAAATATTATAATTTGTTCTTTTTTTTTAAAAAAATAATGTAAAAGATTTTATTTTTAAAACACTAATGATTACTTAAATATATATTTGATTATTAAAGAAAATGTGTTTTTTATTTTAGTACCTTATCCTTATTATATTTCATTTATTTATTACATAAATCAAAAGCAGATAGATTAAATACTATGTAAAAAATAAATGCATATGAGAGTGATAGTTACTGTACGATGGTACCTTTGATGTTTGAAATACGCTTACCTAAGCGTCTGGTAGCTGAAGATAAAATTCTTAGAAAAAATTGTTAGTTTATTAAATATAAAATTTTTCCCATAAAATTACAGACGCTTATAAGCGATATAATATAATGATACACAGACAGCGTCACAATTATTTCCCATAAATTTACAGACGCGTATGAGCATTATACTATAATTATACCTTTAATGTCAGACATATGCTTACCTAAGCGTCTGTTAGTCGATGATAAAATTCTTAGACATTATAGCTATACTTTTAATATTACACAGACAGCGTCGCAATTGTTCTCATACAAAATTACAGACGATTATAAGTCATATAATATTATGATACCTTTGATGTCGGAAATATGCTTACCTAAGCGTCTGGTAGTCGATGGTAAAATTCTTAGGAATTATAATGCCATAACGACAAACGCTACCATTGTTCCCATAAAATTCATACGATAATGATCATTACTATATGACGACATCTTCAATATTAAAAAATATGCTTACCTAAGCGTCTGGTAGTCGATGGTAAAATTCTGAGAAATTATAGCTCTACATTTAATAATACAAAGCCAGCATCGAAATTTTTTCCATAAAATTACATACGCTTATGAGCGTTATACTATAAATATACCTTTGCTGTCAGAATATGCTTACCAAAGCGTCGGGTAGTCGATGGCAAAATTCTTAGAAATTATTTGTACATTCGATGTTGGAAATATGCTTACCTAAGCGTCTGGTAGCCGATGATAAAATTCTTAGAAAACGTTGGGTTTCATCCTCTCCTTCCCCCACGCATTAGGTTTGTTTACATAAGGTTTCGTCCTCCTATTGCATTATGTTAGTTTACGTTGGGTTTCATCGTTCTCCCCCACCATTCCATTAGGTTAGTTTACGTTGGATTTAATCCCCCCGTACACTTCCTCCACCGCAAGGAAGGT